AACAAAAAGTTAAGCAATCCTAGAGCAAATGCAGCTAAATCCATGTATTTCAAACAATATAATCCCTTTCTCCAGCAGTTACTTGGAGTTCTTCTTGAAGTATGTGGCCAAAAAAATAATGACCTAAAAGAAGAATTTAATTAAAATTGCATTGTTGCCCTGACCGGTTTGGCTCAGTGGATAGAGCGTCGGCCTGCGGACTGAAGGGTCCCAGGTTCGATTCCGATTGGGGGCATGTACCTTGGTTGCGGGCACATCCCCAGTGGGAGGTGTGCAGGAGGCAAAATAAATAAAATTGCATTGTTTTGTTTATTATTTCTTTTTTTCTTTTTTTAATATATTTTATTGATTTTTTACAGAGAGGAAGGGAGAGAGATAGAGAGTTAGAAACATCGATGAGAGAGAAACATCGGTCAGCTGCCTCCTGCACATCTCCCACTAGGGATGTGCCCGCAACCAAGGTACATGCCCTTGACCAGAATCGAACCTGGGACCTTTCAGTCCACAGGCCGACGCTCCATCCACTGAGCCAAACCGGTTTCGGCATGTTTATTATTTCTTGACAGTGTACCCCCAAACACAGAAGCACAGTGATCGGGAAATCTAAGGTTTCTAAGTGTAAAATAATGATTTATATTAGAATAGTGGCAAAAGAAAGAATTGTAGCAGGACTGACTTTTATTATGCATGCCAGAACACACTATTTCTTCAGAAAACCTGAGCCTAAATTTACATGACCAATTTTTTTTATATCGAGTTCTCATTTTAAACACTTTAATGCTATAAATTTCAGTCACATGATAAATGGCTTGATGTTAAAGGTGCATTAAATCACTATCCCACAAACAAACAAAATGGAAAGACTCATACTGTAGATACAGAGAATAGACTCACAGTTGGCAGAGGGAGGGGGTTTGGGGAACTAGATGAAAAAGGTAAAGGGATTAAGCAGAACAAATTGGTAGTTACAGGATAGCCACATAGATATAAACTGCAACATGGGGAACATACTCAATAATATCATAACTATGTATGGGGTCAGCTGGGTGCTTGAAGAAGAGGGAGGACCACTCTGTAAAGTGCATGATTTTCTAAGCACTTTGCTGTGCATCTGAAACTAATACAGAATAATACTGAGTGTGAACTGTAATTGAAATATAAAAAAAGAGGAAAGAATAAAATAAAATGTGCGAGCATATTTTTGTTTTGCTATTTCTTTGCAAATTCATCTATAACAATACTTATTAAATTTCATTCCCATAAAGGTAGATATATTGAGCACATTTATTTGTGTTTTTAGTCTTCCCAACTAAAAATCCAAAAGAAATGTAAATGAAAACCATAAAATTGATCCTTAAAAGCCATTTACAGGACAATTCATTGAATTTGGGAATATCTGTGAGAGCATTATTCATTCACTTTACTCCTTTATTTCAGGGTGTATGTGTGTGTGTGTGTGTGTGTGTGTGTGTGTGTGCATAGCTCTGTGTTTTAAGTTCCACGGGGAGTATAAATGAGTCAGTGGACAAAATCCCCATTTACATGATTGCTATTTGCTTCTACTCATGACACCCGGAATATCTACCTGTATTGAGTTTCCTGTGTTCTGCTTCACAGCTGCTCTGACTTTCAAGTGCCTAGGAGATCAATGGCCTGTGTACTGCCGAGTGATACGCGAGAAGAACCTGTGTCAGGACATGCGGTGGTATCAGCGCTGCTGTGAGACGTGCAGGGACTTCTATGCCCAAAAGCTGCAGCAAAAGAGTTGACCTCTAGCAGGCTGGCTGGCTCACAGCTCTTTGCAATTACATTATTTATAGACACACACACTAGCATGTTTTTCAGACCAAATATTATCAGATTACATATAATTTAATCAAATTAATTTATTTTGGGGCCTGCCTAACATCAATATGGTGCTTATTTTGGTAATACAAACATTGTGATTTATACTATAGGGCTTCATAAGTCATTTTATATGAATAAGTTGGATCCAGTTACCAGAAAAAGAAAAAGAAAATTAAGATTGGTAGGCTTAAAAAATGTTTTTTAAGTTAGGGCTGGCTCTAAGGTGCTACTCTCTCCACACCAATACCATTGAGTTATGCATAATGTATACTACTAATTTAGCATAATAGTTTAGCTATCTATGGGGAAATTATTTTTGTGTTTTGGTGTCCTAATACAGAATTAGCCCATTTTCTGTACTCTGAAGGAGATGTGTAAACATAACAAACCTCATAGTGTTGAACAGGTTTTTAGAGAATGTATTAATGAATTTGGTTCAGACTTAGAGACATCTATAGGAAAAATTCTACTGTAATTATATCCTTATTTTAATAATGGAAAAGAAAAAAATCAAAATAGAGACTTTGATCATGTTCACGAACATGTACTTGAACACAAGTATTGTAACAATGAAACACTGTAATTAATGATTTACACTGAATCACCATTGCACTGTCGATATAGTGTAGAGAAACCGTTATGGAAATGGTAACACCCTACAAAAATGTGTATTATTTTTAACATGTTGTCATTAGATTTTAGCTTTTTTAAATATTTTGAAGAAAGAAAGCATTGATCCACCCATTTCCTTGTATTTTTTTAGCAGATTTTAAAAGAATATAGTAGGTACTTAAGCCTCACAAATCATGAGAAAACTTACTAAATATTTTTCAGCCTTTTCCCTAGAAACAAGGAAAAACTAAAAGCTGATAATATTGTGGTAGTTTCATTGTGTTTTTTCTTTATAAAAATTAAAAAGTTTTACAATTCTGTGAAACGTTAAAAAAACAGCTTAAAATTTTTCTTGTGAGAAAATATTGTACATGATTCACATGATTTCTTAGATTTTTTTTTGCAATAAAATATGTGAAATTTCCTTTTGGGAGGCAATTCTTCATAGGTCTCTCATGTTTCCACAAGTCTTGGCACTGTCAGCTTTTGTTCTGGAATATCTTCTAAAGGATGTTTGTATGGTGAACAGCTTTGGAAGATAAAGTTCGTGTCTCTCTTTGGAGCAAAGGGCAGACGTGTTTATTTCTCATTATAGAAGTTTCACAGTCCCTAAATGGGGCCCCTCACCTGTAATACAATGCTCTGCATGAGTAGGTATCATCTGGCTTCTTTATGTCTGGTGCTTCCACTGGCATTACTACCATGAAAGCCCTCATGCCACAGATCATGGCACCAAAAAGGGGAAGATGGTTTTTTGCCAGTTTATGTTTTTTTAATTAAATTTATTGAAATAACATTGGTTAATAACATTATATAAATTTCAGGTGTACAATTTTATAATACGACATCTGTGTACTATATGGTGCTCACCACCCAAAGTCTTTTGAGTATGTCTGTTTCAAATAGACCTTCCAGAATTAGGGAAGTTACCATGGGGTAGGCTCAGGGACTCTTGGGTCCACTATGAGACAGATTTAAGCCAAGCTTGATCCAGTTACCTGACTTCCATAAGCTTTTGCTCTGACTGTGGGACTGCAGTGGCAAAGTAGTGTCACCAAGAATCCAGGAATCATCAAAAAGTCAGATTATTTTCCTTTCCCCAATATATAGTTCCCATCAGGAAAGACTAGAAGGTAGATTAACAATATGGGTTTTGGACAATGTAACAAAATCTTTCCCCAAAGGATCTGGCCTCCCCTTCATTCAAGGAATTCTGGATCTGTGAACCTGCTCTCATGTGGAATTTGATCTAGAAATGCAATTCCCTGCTATGGTGAGTCAAATCAGACTTCTATTCACTAAGACTAGAAATTTAGTGCTTATACAAATACAAGACTTTAGTAGAATGTGTATCCATTTCAGTCCGAGGACTCCATGATTAATTAGGCAATACCAAAAATCTTTGCCGGTCAAACCATTCCCTCTACCCCTTTAACTCTACTGCCCTTTCTGGTAACTGTGCTTTCCTGGTCTTTGGCGGTGAAATTCAGCCATTTGGTTCCTGCCCTTATGGTATTCCATATTCTCATTAAATTCAGGAAGCCCAGTTCAATGGCAGCATTTCCCAATGTCATTCCTGACATTTGCAGACTAGCCACTTGAGAGTTCTTTAGGGATTCCAATGCTGCCTTCAACAATGAATTTTTCAAAGCCTTAGTGAAGGGAGTGCCTTCTAGATGGAACACTGAGGGGACATATGGAACAGGTGAGTGAACACATCTATCATATTAAAACCAATCTCCCTAAACATTTGTATACCTCCCTCTATAGTACCTTATAGCAAGTATGTTTTAGCATCTCAACTTCATTCAGTATAGACAGCCATTGGGTTCAGTTTTCAGATAAATTGTTAGAATTACTCCCAGCCACATCAATTAATACTTTCTAGAATCTCTACTTAGTGAACCCATGTCAAAAACATTTAGGCTAATTCAACATTGTATGCTTTCCATCCTAACATAACCCTCTTAAGAAACACCCCTGAAACACATACTTTGGGTTTCAGTAAATATTAATTAGTGAAATCCTGCAGTTCTTTTGATATGTATGGTACCACTTGAGAAGTCACACTTTTTGTCTGGCCCCCTTGAATCTTTTGGGACTTGATCTGGATATGGATTTAGAAGACATGATAGATGTGGAACATGAGCCGTAGAGCTGAAAAGGTTTTATTTCAAGATAGTCAGTGTAAGCTTTCTAGGTCCCAGCTTAGTCTTTGAGCTGTGACTTTTAAACCTCATTTCTCCCTTTAACTTCTCTAGTCTTTTTAGGAGCAATGAATCAACCCCACAGTCATTAGTCTCTTTGTTTCTATTAAAAAGAGTTTATGCAGCAGGTACTTGCTTTCTATCGGCACTTCACTCCAGATGACAATAGGTAAGAATTTAAATAACCATGTTGGCATTTTGTGCCATGGATGACCAGTGTCCCCTTTACTGGAAAGAGGGTCACTAATGTCATTGAGTCTAGTCAGAGCATAGAACGAATTCCAGCTTTCATTTCTTAAAATTTTCTTCCTTGGAAACATTTATTTTTGTACCGGTAATTGTCATGGTTCAGTCAGCCAGTGTTGGAGTGTTATGGGAGAATGGATCCGAATTCATAACATCAGGAGGAGCTGGGGAAGATCCATGAGAAGAGTTGGAGAATCAGGAGTCACCAACTGATCTGAGCAGCCAGGCACATCCAGGTAAGTATGACTATGAAAGATTCACTGTAAAGATGTCTATAGCAGGGTTCCTCAAACTTTTTAAACAGGGGACTAGTTCACTGTCCCTCAGACCGTTGGAGGGCCGGACTATAGTTTAAAAAAAAAAAACTATGAACAAATTCCTATGCACACTGCACATATCTTAGTTTGAAGTAAAAAAACAAAACGGGAACAAATACAATATTTGTATTTGCATGTGGCCCGCGGGCCGTAGTTGGAGGACCCCTGGTCTATAGGATGCTGCTGCCTCTCTATACCTCCCTTCTTTGTAGGTCCACAGCCAAACATCTGGTGGTGGATCTGAGTTGCTGTTAGTCAGCAGGTCCAACAGTTGGAAAAAAGAAATGGGCATGGAGCTCCAGAAAAGGCCACTTGGGAACTGCCAAGCACCTGTGCCTCTGTCTATCCCTGCATCTGATTACAAAAAGACTTCTGGATTAATGGATGCTGCTTCCATTTTGCCTTCCAAATGCCATGCAAGTTCCTCTTTTGGCCAATTCTAACCCAGAATCACACAAAGAAGGGGATTCTTGGAAATGTAGTTTGCTTTTTACCTATAGATGACTAATATGATTTTTATTTTTTCAGTTTGCTTTATAACAGAGACAACTGAGATGAAAATCCATATTCTCACTCTCTTAAAATAACAGTATTCTCACTCTCTTAAAATAACAGTAAACCTTTTTAAGGGCTTATTATATCCTGAACATTCTGTTAACCACTTTACCTATTAAACCTCACAGCAACCTTGTAAGGTAGTATTAATATCTTCACATTATAACTGAGCAATCTGAGGCTCAGAGAGTTTTGGTAACTTGCCCAAGAACACAGTTTAGTTGGATGTAGTAAAACCACTAGGACTCCAAATTCTGTGCACTCAATTATCCTGATTGCCTCCCTTGTTCACCACTTTTGAAAATAGGTGCACAAGGACTTATAATCTCATCACAGACTTTGTATTTAAAACTATCCAACTAATTTTGAAATTCTCAGATAATTTTGATGAATTCCAACTGCTCATCTGAATTGTACAGGCTTTTCAGCTGAAAATACTTTCAGGTATTTCAATAAGTTATTGTTACAAATTAGAGAGGAGGGGAAAAAAGAAAGAAAAGAGAAAAAGAAAGAGGTAAAAATGAAAGAAAATGAAAGAGGAGAGAGGAAGAAAGGAAAGGTCAGAGAATGAGAAGAAAGAAGAAAAAAGTTAATATGTAAAAAAGTTTTGCTTAGTGAACCATATTTAATTCTATTTTCACAATTTTCATAGTTCAGAAAACAATAATTCTGGATCCAAACCCAAGGGGAAATGATACTTTTATAAAAATTTTCTGTGAAGAAAGCAAATGCTTACCTGCATCCAGAGGTTTGAGAAGTACCAGATATCCACATTTCCACCAGATTGTCCCTGCAATATACTAGTAGTTCCTTTTTTTAAAACAAGGCAGAGAAGTTATTTTACTTCTTTCCTATTTTTATTAATTTCAGAGAAGAAGGGAGAAGGAGAGAGAGATAGAAACATCAATGATGAGAGAGAATCATTGATCGGCTGCCTCCTGCATGCCCCACACAGGATTGAGCCCACAACCCGGTGCCCTAACCAGGAATTACTAGTAAACCATGACCTCCTGGTTCACGGGTGTATGCTCAACCGCTGAGCCATGCTGGCCAGGCCTAGTTCTTTATATTTCTTCAATATGAGTTTGTACATTAAAAAATACCAGAACAGAATATAGAGAATGTCTGTAAACAATTTTGGCAATGGGTTCCTTTTTCACTGAGCATGATCAACTAGAAAACAGAACACTAAGCCATTTTTTAAATCAAATTTAATTAGATTATCCATTTCCAACCAGAGTAGAACCATCATTATTTGTTGAGCAAAAAGCTTTCATGAGGGTCTACAGAAATGATTCAGGTGTGGAAGGAAGCATCCAATGGGTCCCTGTTGTATTGTATCACCTAGTATAGAGACTCATGAAGGAAAAGTATGAAATACATAATCAAACACCAGATGAGAGTATAAACAAATCACCCTAAAATTTCAAAGGAAGGACAATCATTCCTACTAAGGAACATATGCAAAGGTTTTGTGAAAGAGAGGCTAGGTACTAGAGATGACCCATAAAGGATGCGTAGAGGTGGTCAGTAACCGGGGCTGTGGAGAAATGTTTCCAGACGGGAGGACTGACACAAGTAGAGGCACAGGGGGTGGGATTGGGGTATGGCCAGTACAAGGGAGGGGGGAGAAGGACTGATTTCTTCATTGTCAGTCACGTGGGAAACCTACAGGGGTAGTAGTGAGAAACAGAACTGATGGTTTGGGTGGGGGTGGGGAGGCATAGAAAGGATGGTGGGGAAAGATGGAGAGTCTGAGACTAAGCGACTTATAAACGGAAAGACAGTATACAAGCCTCTAGGCATCTGGAGCATGGCAAGGAAAACTGAAGGCTCGTTTCACCCACCTCATAATTTGGCTAAGAAAAAGGCCTGGCCTAATCAATATATTTGGATCTAAGTTCTGTGTCTCCACTTGCCAATATAGAGAGCCAAAAAGAAGTTAGGTTCTCCTTGAAGATGTTTGTTATTCCCCAAAGAATCTTTTAGGAAAAGCAAACAGCCTGAGAAATATTTGTTCATTAGATGGATTCTGGCAGCAACCAGAAAATTCCAGAAAGTACCAAGCACATGCACATAATACACTTGATTCTTGAAACAACTGATTTAACTGGTTATTGTCATTATAAAGTACTTTCATCCAGTAAATGTATTGATAAAACCACCCAGATGTATTTCTGATATTGTAAGACAGAGAGAAAGTTTGGTCCAAAAAATTCTTATAGAAAGTGTTGATTGCTTAATCCAGTTTTACAGTCATAAGTAGGACAGATGTTTTGGTTTGGGTTTTTTTAACACCCCCGTGCTTATTGCTATAGAGAAAGTCAGTACTCTCCAATGTCTTGCTCAATTCGAGAACATCCTGGCTGCTGATTCTTATATGGCTCTATGGCACTCTCCTGAAATGTGCTGCTGATACATTCCACATGTAACCATTCCCCCTGGAAGAGAAACCTTCCGCTGAGTCAGATGGGTCTACAGAGGTGCAAACAGAACAAACAATTTATGTCTTTTAGAACTGCTGATGTGTCTATCTTTTTGCCTTCTCGCAAGTGGGAAGGTTTTCTCTTCCCAGTCTAGATGGAAATCAGTACTTTCCCACTGGGAAGTATGGGTTGCCTAAGGCAGAATGGCTTCAAATAAGAGAGCTTATCTCGGTTAAAGTCATCGTCGCTTCCTGACTTAGTACACTGTCTGTAGCTTCACTCCCACCTTGGCTCCCTGACCAGCAGATGGGTTCACTTAGGACAGCACGTCGGCCATGTTCCCACTTGGTTCCAAATGTACGGTGTGGACACCAAACACATTGTAGGAGTGTATGCAGGTAGGAAGAGTCCAAGGGGCCTCAGGTAGTGAATGGGTTAAGACAGTAGGTTGGGACACTAATTTGCTGTAGCAAACTAAGAAGCAAATGCTTGCCATTTCTCTACTCAAAACGAAGCTGACAAGCTAAACACGATTAGGTTTCACCTGAGCCTGAGACTCTGGGAGTGAAAAGATGAGAAGAAACAAGATCTTGCCTATCACATTTGAGGCTGCGTGGGCAGGGCCAAGTCTGCCGGGTTAGCTTAGTAATGATCAGAGAGAAAAATTAAGTGATGTTTCTTTAGGTGACTATCTCATGTGCTCCAAATTATACTGAAATTCTGGCAGCCTTTCTCCAAAGAATAGCTCTCTTTAGGTGACTATCTCATGTGCTCCAAATTATGGGCCGTAATACTGAAATTCTGGCAGCCTTTCTCCAAAGAATAGCTCCTCTTTATAAACCTGTTATTTCTGACTCTGTATGGAGAGGCATTAAGTGCTACACATATCTAATTTTGGCATCCTATTAATTTTAATGTGTAGCCCCATTCAAGCATCCTAAGTGTGTGTGTGTGTGTGTGTGTGTGTGTGTGTGTGTGTGTGTGGTGAAAAACAAGGCAGGGTGCTGCATTGTTCCTGTGTGTTGATGTGTCATTTTGAGCGTGGCATCCGAGTACAGCTGAGAGAGCTGGTTTCAGGTGCCGGTAGGAGAATCCTCAGACTCATTCATAATGGACGAGTCTGACAGGACCAGCCTCACTTGCCTTTGTTTCCTCCCTTAGACGAAGGGAGACATGGATCTCTCTGCTTTGCCAAATAACAACCATCCTGACAAATTCCTGCAGCTCGACGTGAAGTTGTTGATGAGGAACTCGGCCCTCCTTCAGGCCAGCCTGGTGAGGTTTCCGGGTGGGAACTACCCTGCGGCCCAGCACTGGCAAAACCTCGTCTACTCACAGGTACGACCTGGGAGCCCGAGGACGGGGACGGGGGCTCCTTTCTCGCTCTCTGCCATCTCCGCATTTGTGCAAAAGGAAGGCTGGGGGGAACCGAGGGCAAGGTCGCGTACTCATTCTTGCCACAGAGAAAGGTCTTTCTTCCTTAACGTAAGAGACTCTGTGATCACTTTATCAAAGATGTGAATTCTCCCACCCATTCATTCCCCTCCAACGTTAGCTTCCCAGCATGTCTTCATTTTAGAGTTTGCCTAGCCCTCACTTTACTCCTCTGAGGATTTTTCAAACCAATTTGCAAATAAGGTTTTGGAGGGAAAAGCAACCTCCATTTTTTGGTGTATTCTAAGCACAAAGCATCAGAAGCTTACATTGGAAGCTCATTCACCTCATTCAGACCAACTGCCTTTCATTTCGTGCAGGAAAGACTCAGACGGCAGGAAAGTGGAAAGTTAAGGATGGAAGGAAAGGATACAGCAGGAACTCTCCACCTTGTAAAGGTGCTGGCTGTTATTTTAGATACTCGTAGTCCCTCCACATGGAAGGACGTACCAACCAGGTCTTCAAACCCAATGCAGACTGGGTTTCTTGCTTTCTTCTTTTGCATCTTCCTTCCTTTTGCTGACCAGGAGAGAATAAAACTGTGATGAGTTCCATGTGCTGGAATAAACATAAAGGCCCTGACTGCTGCACAGCTCATGAAACAGGAATCATCTTTGTTTTAAGATGTGAGGGCTAATGGGGTTAAGGGTTAGTCCATTTAGAAACAGGAAGAAGCATTGCGTTTCAGAACAGATGTGACTGACCCGCAAACCCCTGCAAGTCATTAAATCCTTTGGAGTGGTTCAAATTCCCTGAGCAGAAATTTGTTTTCTTTTAAGAAACAGTTGCTACTCATGAGTCCTGGTGTAAAGTGACTCCTTTGTGGTGCGTTTTGTGGGCTCCTGGGGACCTTTATCATGAGATCATTCAAAATCAAGTACACTCAAATGATTATGTAAGTGTTTCCTCCACCTATAAGGGTTTTAATTTATTTCCATGGTAAGGCAGCTTATTATGACAACTGACTTTTTAAAATTTTTGCATCTTTTCTATTTGGAATCCTCAAAACCCTCCTGCCCATCATATGCACCTTTTTGGTTATTGCTTTTGTGTTTTGTTTAGTTTTAAGCTAAGTGCAATGAAATCCCTCCTTTTCCTTCCTTATTGTTTATATCATGGAATAAAATGATTCAAAAATCAGTTAAGAAAACCTTGGCTTTCCTATGCTATGAAGTTAAGTCTAAGAAAACATATCCAATAAATTCCTTTCAGGTTGGAACACATACATCTAACATCTTTTGTTTGGTACTGGAGTTGACCTATTTTCTTCATGTGGAACTTCACAGTTTCAAGCTCTGTTGAATATTATTCCAAAACCTGAATGAAACACAAATTTTTAAAGGGTATATTTTTCCACAACCTCTATTGGGTTGAAATAGTTATTCAAGGAAAAGCCAAGGAGGTAAAAAAAAAATCTGCTTCATATGTCCTTGAATAAATTATTGGTAATTGTAAACTGCAGATAAAGTTGATTTTGTTATCCTTCTACCCTAAAAAGAAATATTAAATGATTGAAAAAAGGCCAATTTACTATTGAAATAATGCATGGGGATGTAAATGGGTGTAAATCAATTACAAACTCAGGTAGTTGGGTAGGTGTAGCACAAATTATGAGTAACAACAATTATATTTACTATTTCAGATTGCAATGTGTCAATAAGTAATTCTTCCCTCCTTGGCTGAATCTTAAAATCTGAGAGTGATATATTCATTGGATAAAAAAATAAATCTAAAAAGAAATGAACACACAAAATTTTTCAGTAACTATAATGATAACTGGAAGAAGGCGCTGTATATACCAAGTGAATTGAGGTGTTGGGATACACAAGGTGGCAATTGTCAAATAGTTCTTAATTTAAAACTATTAGAGTAAGGACTCTACTGGGGAGACATTACGCATTGAATAAAGAGGTTAGAAATTTGGCTTCTTGTGTCATATCCTCAGCAAGACAGTGTGAGAGACATCTGTTATGGCCCTTATTCAGTCCATGCTTCAGTTTATTTCCACTTGCGGAATTAGGATAATATTCATTTTACATATTTCCTTAAAACTGAGAACAAAATCTGACAAAAGTAATTGAGAAAAAATATTTTCTATACAAGTATAAGAAATGTACATTATTATTATTATCATCATTTGTCAATATTCAAAATGTGTTGAAATTATCCTTTCATTATAATTTGGAAAACAGCAGATAATATCACTTGCATTGTTTGATTTATACTGTGGATGGAGGTGTATATGTGTGTGTGTCTGCGTGTTTGTAGATGGTGGTGTTGGAGGATGTAGTTAATACATCTGTCAAGCTACATGGCTAACTCAAGCAGTAGATTTTATACTGACCTGAAATCCACACAAACTTCAGATTTATGTCAGCTTATCATTTGGCATTACACCACCCCAGGTAGGTGCATGGTGTTTGGGACTCAGACTACCTCAAGGAATGTCAAAGGATTAACCTACAAACATTGCCTTCAAAATTGCTGGTAACTCAGCAGTTAAAACAAAAATCCCCTAGATACCAAATATGAAGTTGATTTACATTTTGAAAATGAAATGGATTTTAATAAGCACTGCCTTTATAATTATTCAAAGTATGTATACATCTTTGGGACACCTTGTATGTATCATTTATATTCATTATTATTTGTTTTTAAGATTTTTAAAAATTCACATTTTACTTTCAGAGTTGAGTCCCTATGTCATTTTTTTAATGAGCTGAAGCAATACAGTGCATAAAGAAAAGTGAACACAGGTTCAAAGGCTTGCCAATGGCCCCAGTCAACTCCCTTCTGCGCAGATACACAGGTCACCCATATTTGTAGAGAGTACAAGCAAATAACCCTTGATTCTACTATACTTATAGTTCTTAAGTTCTTTCACTAGAGGAATAAAGAAGCTTCACAACAAATTTCATCTCAGTGTACCGAGAAACTTTCTCCAAAATCTAATGTTTCTGGTTGTTAAAATTATTTGGGGCATGCATCTGATGAAGGCCCTTGGAATTGTATTCTACATATTTCTGCCAATCCCTTTAGAAAACGGGGCAATGAAAGGAAAGGGCTGATTTTTTATTTAGTTTAAATGATAAAATATGTTTTTGCAGATATTGCGGTGGGCCTTTTTTTCTGATTAGTAGTTAGACTTCAGAATATTTTCTGACTAATCCCTTTGCTGTATCTTTTCTTGGCATCTGTTTCAGAACCCAGGAACATTCCTCACTAAACCTGAGAGCTGGAGCGACAGGCCCAGGGTAAGAGGCTCTTCTCCCCGTGACTTTTAGACACTGTTCTTCACTGGGTTTATTTCTTAATCACCTTTCCTTGCGTGGCTGTTGTATGCCCATGAAAAAGAAGTGAATTTGGTGAGTATCTAGCCAGGCTCTGCCACAGGCTATCATTCTGGTAAAATAATATATACATCTTCCTTGCTGAATGGGAAAAGTGAAAGACGCCACAGTAATTCTGGGATCCCACTGGGAACAGTGTGTGTGGCCTTCTTCCTTGAAGGTGGGGAAGGTTGTTTGGGATGCTTCTGCTCTTGAGACCTCCTGATGCGTTGTTCTCTGATGTCCTTGGTGCCATAGTCTAGGAGACATTCCCATGTTCATTATTCTCTTTTTCCATATCAGAAGTGGGCCCTCCTTCAAGCCTGTATAAGGATTCAAAGTTTACTCCTATTCATGGATATTTGGAGGCCTAGGGTTATTGTTGTTGCCTTGTCTGTTTTTTTTAATTTCAAACAATAAAAAACTTTTAGGTGTAGGGTAATGGTTTCTTTGGTAAAATATATCTTACAAAAATTAATAAGCTATTTGTTAGTGTGAGCCTTGCTTTTCTGCCTCCCTTTCTCTATCCTTCGACTCGAGGACAGCCACCTGGAGGCTGTCAGGGATTAGTTATGAAACCACACCCTTAACATAATCTTTACCCCAAGTCACTTCATTCAGCTGAGATGTTTTAATGGACTTCTTTGGCCCAATGCTTTTTAAAAAAAGTCTGTATATCAGTTTTTGGGGTCTATAAACATTCAGATTTTAAACAGTAGAAGACATAAAATTTCTAAACTTGCACACTGTCCAGTTCTTTCTCTCATTTCATCTCTTTCTTGTATTACACCAATGCTCTGCTTCTTGTAGTATCATTATATGTACATGAACACTCTGATAATATGTAAGTATTTCTCCTAGAGCTACAGGTGATTAGATTCCCGTGGCCACCAAATGATTTTCATTTTAGGATGTGAATAGGCATCATTCTAGCTTCTGATATTGCTTTATCCTTTTCTACCACTTGACTGTAAAGCCAATGCCACACATTTGTGGGATTTCAAGATGCCACTTGTGTGTTAGGAGGGGCACAGTGGGCTATACTGTGATGATAAATACCCCAAAGACTGTCAGTTACTATAAAGGAAAAAACATTATTGCTCATGAAAAAGTCTGAGGAAGAGCAGGTGTGTTTGGGGGACAGCTCTTTTCCAAGCAGTAACCCAAGGCTTCAAGTTCTTTGTGTTTGTAGCTCTGCCATCTCAGACCCTAGCTTACAGTGACAGAAAAGAAGAAAAATGAGCCAAAAATCTTTTGGTAGATTTCAAGAGCCAGGCTTGGACGTGTAGCCTCTGCTATTTTGTCCATAAATGATCAACTAGAAAAAAAGCTGCCTCCAGCCCAGCTGGTGTGGCTCAGTGGTTGAGCGTCAACCCAGGACCGAGGTCACCAGTTTGATTCCCAGTTAGGGCACCTGCCCGGACTATGGGCTCAGTCCCCAGTGGGGGGGCGTGTGGGAGGCAGCTGATTTGCTTCTCTCTCATCGATCTTTCTCTACATATATCTGTCTCCCTTCCTCTCTCTCTAAAAATCAGTTAAAACATATTAAACAAAAGTTTGCCCCAGTTTAAATTCAAGAAGGGAAAACAAAATTGGTGTGCATTTAACCAGTCACCATAATACCCAGCTCTCATTTGTTTACATTTGCCTGCTATATACTTTCTACCTTCATTCACTCTTATTCTTTCTGAATCCTTATATTTTAGGTATTTCTCCTGTAAATATTACATAACTGAATTTAATGTTTAAGATAATCTGACAATCTGTCATCTAACTAGAGGGTTTAGTCTATTTACATTTAATGTGATTATTTCTCTTTTTTTTTCTATTTTCCTGAGGCCTCCCCCCATTTTTTTGTTTTATTTCTCTTGTCTTATTTTTTACTTTCTCTTATATTTTTTTAAAATATGTTTTATTGATTTTTTACAGAGAGGAAGGAAGAGAGATAGAGAGTCAGAAACATCGATGAGAGAGAAACATCGATCAGCTGCCTCCTGCACATCTCCCACCGGGGATGTGCCCGCAACCCAGGTACATGCCCTTGACCGGAATCGAACCCGGGACCCTCCAATCCGCAGGCCAACGCTCTATCCACTGAGCCAAACCGGTTTCGGCCTCTTATATTTTTTTACTGCTTTACTGAATTAAGCAATACATGTTTTAGTAATATCTCTGTGTGATCACTGAAGTGATTCCTTAGTGTCCTTATAAAAAAAAATGCCTGATACTCTTGTTACTGTTCAATGTTTTAGCTGTCTCTTATTTTAAAAATCATATGTTAATGACTACTATTTCTATTTACCATGAAATCAATGCTTTCTTAGATTTATACATATATTTATCAATTTTCTTTTTTTACCTTTTTGTTTTCTTGCTCAGCATTCCTTTTTGCATCTTATTTTTTCCTTCTAGTACTAATTTTATTCTGCCTGGAGTACATTTTTTAGAGATTCCTTCTTTATTGACCTATTAATGATATATTCTCAGTTTTTATTTGTCTAAATATGTCTTCTATTTTACTCTTTTTATTGAATGATAAGTTACTTATACATAAATGGTATAAATAATAAATTGCATAAAGAATAAATGGACTAAGTAATGGTTAATGCCAAAAAAGGTTAGGTAAGTTTTAAAATATTACTTTTTTACATAAATATTTTAAAATGTAAGTTATCTTAGAGTCCATATAACTAAAATAATGGAATTACTATTGAGTTTTCCTTTGCTAAATAAAATCTATCTAAAATGTAGATGAAGAGTTGTAATCAAATACATGCTTTTTTTCTTTCTTAAGCTATTTCAAAAATATTATCAAAGTATAAATGAACTCCAACTATAATTGGTACTTTTATGCAGCCATCAAATTGTTAATAAAGCTATACTCTTAACTTTTAAGTATATGTCTTTCAGGCATGAGATTACCATGCAACACAAAAATAAATGGCACCATGTTTGAGGAGAAATCTTAGACTTTCAAAAATGTGACTATAGCTCTGATTATTTTGCTATGTTTTATATATTAGTTTTTCAAGGTCCTTATACATTGTAATAGAGTGTATTATTTTTTCTTTACCTTGAAACTGTTCCCTCATTTATGGAACTTCCTTGTTTAAGAAACTCAAGGAATAATCTAGCAGGCAAGAAAACTGACATAGCCAATTTATCAATGTCAGAAGAATTATTCCTCCTCAAAGATGATCAAAGATGTCTAGCCTTGAAGAAAAAAGCTTGAGTCAGAATTATGCTAATCTGAAATGATCTAAATTTCATATCAAATTGTTTTTCCTCAATTCAGAAACATTTTCATGAGGTCATCCATCTTAAAGAGAAATACTAAGTCAAGATGATTTATTATTTCACTGCAAACTTCAGTATTACAGAATATAAATTGATTTTGAGCATGCTAACAACCTAGTAAAGTCAGAGAAGATCTCTAAGTTTATCTCTAATTATGTAAAAAAAAGTATGGATTAAGAAAATTAGAAAAACCTAAGACCAAAGAGAATGTGAAAGGTTTTATACAGATGATTTTTTGAGACTACTAGCCATTACACAAGGAAACTATGTAATATTAGTTGACAACTTAGCGTATATAAATACATACTTAACATGACCTACATACTCCAGTAGATGCTGAGGGAATCAACCTACTGATGATCATAAATATGACACAGAGGAATATTTATTGCTACTATTGAATCTTCTCTGTTTTGTGAAACACATTTTAAAAATTGCTATAAATTAATGAAATTTGCTGCCAGTTTTTAAGGGGTAAGCCTAAGTTTTCTGAAAATTAACTTATGTGGAATTCCTCTCCCTGATGCCCCATGATAAATGAAGCATTATGCTATAAGTTTTTTGTTTCTTCTCAATTATATTTGGCCAATGAACAAATTTTAACTTAAACATTTTCTGCCTTCATGATAATTTTGTAGTCATAAGGAAAAAAAAAGGAGGGGGAAAAAAAACTGAGGTCAACTTAGACGAAAGAAAAGCACACATTATATGATTCCATTTATATAAAATGCAAAAAAAACAAAAAGAGAGAGAGAGAGAGTCCAACTGCCTGACACTGTTAAATTTGGAATACTGGTTATCCTTGGGCAGAGTGAAGGATAGTGACTGGGAGAGCGCATGAGGCATGCTGGTAATGTTCTGTTCCTTGGTAGAATCTTAAGGTTTATTTGGTTTGTGAAAATGTATTTATGATATATGTGCTTGTCTTTATGTATATTATGCTTCAATTAAAATGTTTTTTAAAATCTGAAGGTCAATATTAGAGCCATCTAATAGCCAGCGTGTCTGTAGACACAGATAGGAGTGCTATGCTAACTTAGTCCATTTCTCCAAGATATCTGAAATAAGAGTCCCAAGAGAATTTTCATGAAAGCCAAGGCATGTCTATAAATGCCTTTTAATCTTGACTTTGCTGGGTTAATAGAGCAATATTAAATATTATTCTTATCAGTCATGGAATGCACAAATAGAAATGAAATGTCATTAAATCTCAATGCAAGCGAGCTGGGGAAAATGGCTTTGTTCAGAATTCTACAATTTGAATTAAAGAACAGTGTTCTTTCTCCATAGTTATAAAATAGCATTTTAATGAATGATTACTGAAGCCAAAAAGATTATAGGCAAAGAAAGAACTCAATGGCTCAGCCGGCATGGCTCAGTGGTTGACTGTCAACCTATGAACCAGAAGGTCACGGTTCGATCCCGGTCAGGGCACATGTCTGGTTTGTGGGCTCGATCCCCAATGTGGGTAGGGTGTGCAGGAGGCAGCCAATCAATGATTCTCTCTCATCATTGGTGTTTCTATCTCTCTCCCTTTCCCTTCCTCTCTGAAATCAATAAAAACATTTTTTTTAAAAAGAAAGAAAAGAAAGAACTCAATAAAATAGAATTCTAGGTCAAACTAGATCCCAGACTCCTTTCCTCATTATCCTAATCTGTTGGGTTTCCAGGCAGAATCAACACATTTTGGGGTACAGTTCTTTCCTATTACATTTTCTGTCATCAGTGGCCCGCTGGTAAGAGAAGCCTTGTCTCTGCCTCCTAACAGAGAGAAAAGAAGAATATTACTGCTCAACGAATGAGGGGATCCAGTGTGAAGGGTGCTGTCTTCGTAGATAGGCCTCCACCATCTCTCTCATCAGTTCTGAAGAATAACCCACTATATGGTGATGTAAGCTTGGAGGAAGCTATGGAAGAAAGGAAAAAGAATCCTTCATGGACCATCGAAGAATATGACAAGCGTTCCCTGCACACAAACCTTTCTGGACATCTGAAGGTACTCAAGGCAAAGAGCCAGTTCTTCAGTTGAAGGGGGAGATCAGTTAAATATCCTAAACAACATCGGTTTTGAGGTGACAGGCATTCTTCACTGGGCACAGAGCCTCCAGGTTTCAGGCCATTTTAGCCTCTGGCTTCCCTTGTTCTCTCCTCTCTTTGTGTTTATTTATTTGTTTTGAGTTTTACAACAAGTTTGATGTGGCACAGAAACAAGGTTTACCTGGAAGGTAAAAGTTTTTTGAAAACTAGCTTGCCAAATTATGTATGTTTTCCCATGGTTGTGTGACCACTTGTGTTCATGGATACTTATGAATCTCTTGTTCAACATGTATTCAAAAAATATTGATTCAATGTTCTGTCTTCGGCACTGTGCAAAGCAGTTCTCATCAAAGATCATTTCATTTCAAGCCCACTCGGTGATTTAAGATTGCAGACTTACATTTTGGACTCTTTCCTGTGTCTCAGTAACAAAACAAAACAAAACAAAACAAAAGCATTTCAACACAGGAAAAATATGCAATGAACTCATTCACCCAACTTAAGTCCCCCCACCCCACTTGTATCCCACGCCCAGTGTCACCCATCACACAGAGGATCTAGAAATACCTGAAAAGCAGGAGAGTGGCCCTCTCTTTTCTGAGTTGGACTGGATTCCTTCCCAGCCTCTGCTTGCCTCTGCTGCCCTGGAGCCAGGAAGGCCTGACGGTTTCCAAGTACCCTTTATGCATATCTGTTCATACATTAAGTATCTAAAGACTTTTGCAGGGAACAGCCTTATGTCCTCTTAAAATCTTACACTTTAAAAATCTCAAATGTGCACTCCTTGAAATATCTCATTGTCCGGAGTCTTTGAAGTTTCTTAATCTCCTCATAGATGTAATGTATCTCCTCCTTAATGTAGTCTCTTTTCCAGAGAAGTTTCCATAACAGATGCTTCCCCCATAGCAACAATAATCATGTGTTTTTTATCAGGAGCCTGAAGATCAGCCTCTAAGAAGTCACTTCCTACAAGTAGGAAAAATGTATTGATTTATTTCGCAAACATGTCTTGACTGTAGAACCAGATAGAGCGACAAGATTGAGAGAGAGGACTGTGCCCATCGTGGTTGTAGAAAGTGCTGTGCAAATTCAGAAGAGAACAAAACCACATTGGATTATTAAAAGCCTCGTGAAAAGTTAATTTATGCTGGATTTGAAAGATGTGGAGAATTCAAAAGATATAGATGGTTTGCATAAGTGTGGTGTGGGGGTGGGCTCTTCTGTCAGGCGTAGCAAGAGGAAATGCACAAGTACAAGAAAGTTAGAGAATTTGTCAGACTAAGCAGTCTAGTTTTGCTGGCGCTACAGCCGAAGTAATAGAATAATGGGAAAATAAGGCTAATACAGACTAAAAGAAATTGTTTGAATGTAAGAATAAGGAAATTGAACATTATTGGCAATGAGGAGTAATTTTTTTGTTGGACAATTCCATGAGTTATGTTTAAGAAGCTCAAACATGAGGATGATGGCTATATTGCTTTTCTATAACCAGGGTCTACCCCCTCCCCCCATCCTCTACATGAAATTGCTCACTGCAAAGCAGTGGCCCCTCAGGTCACAGGCTTATTTGCATTCTTGAGAGATGTTTCTGGAAGTCATGACTTTTGTTTTGATTATAATTTCTTCCTATTTATGAATACCTCACCTTTCCCTATTCATACCTCTTGTTTAGCAGACAGAGCCCCTAACTTATTTCTGAAAACTTTTCACCACCATGGGTCATAAAAGTTTAAAGTTTCTTGGGCCACTCTCTTTTTTCTAAATTACTAAGAATATATATATGGGGCTCCTTTTCTCCTTTCTTATTTATAAACTAGAGTCCCAGTGCATGGATTTGTGCACTGGTGCGGTCCCTAGGCCTGGTGTAAAAGGATAGATGCAAAATGCAAGAATGCAAGAAGAATTTTGACCTCCTGAAGAATCCCACATATCCTTCCCCACATCAACTCCTACACTCCATGTCTGTTTCTTTCACAGACCTCATCTTCCTTTCTTCAGAATTCTTCAGGAGTTTCTGCAAAATGCAAGAATGCAAAACAGCCTAAGTGACTGTTACAACTGAACCACCTGAATGACTGGAATGACCGGTTGAACAGTCTCTATGATGTACACTGACCACCAGGGGGCAGATGCTCAATGCAGGAGCTTCCCCCTGGTGGTCAGTGCACTCCACAGGGGGTATGCCAGAAGCCGGGCTCATGACTGGTGAGCGCAGCTGTGGCAGGGGGAGCCTCTCCCGAGTCTGCGGCAGCACTACCGAGCGGCGGCAGCGGTGGCAGGCACAGCAGGCTGGGATAAGCATGAGCAGCACGGTGCTAGCTTGGGCTCCTCCCTGGCTGCCTGCTGCTTGGTGCACTGCTACATCCCCCGAGAGGTCCCAAATTGTGAGAGGGCACAGGCCAGGCTGAGGGACCACCCCCCCTCATGCAGGAATCCATGCACTGGGCCTCTAGTATGTATGTGTGTGTGTGTGTAGGGAATGTGTGTGTGTGTGTGTGTGTGTGTGTGTGTGTGTATAAATGTTCATTTGTTCAAAATCTTAAATCTCCAAAAGTTCTTCACTGATTGCTTTGAAATTTTGAGACAACATTGCATTCGAATACGCGTGTGTTTTTATATACCTATTATATAGATGTCACACCTGTGACAGGTAAAAACATGCTTTCTTTGAAAAAATGCAGGTAAAATCATGCTTTTTTTTAAAAACACTGCCATCTGTTGGACGTAAAAGCAACACACGCTATACTAAATATTTTACGATTCCATTTCAATATTTCTAATTTATGATCCATTTACGATTTCCAAATTTCCAATTTTATGATTCCATTTCAATGTTTCCGATTGCATTGTTAAATTGAATTTTCATATATTTCGATTTATTTTCATTTTGATTTAATTATTTCGTGTGACATTGCGTTGGAATTGAGCTGTGCAATTTACCATAGCGTTCATTTCGTGAGTATAGTTTATTTTTTTATTTTTTCATTGTTTTTCATTTCGTTGTTTTTTTTTTTTAATATATTTTATTGATTTTTTACAGAGAGGAAGGGAGAGAGATAGAGAGCCAGAAACATCGATGAGAGAGAAACATCGATCAGCTGCCTCCTGCACATCCCCTACTGGGGATGTGCCCGCAACCCAGGTACATGCCCCTGACCGGAATCGAACCCGGGACCCTTCAATCCGCAGGCCGACGCTCTATCCACTGAGCCAAACCGGTTTCGGCTCATTTCGTTTTTTTAACTGTTTTTCTTATTTTTCAGTGCAATGTGAAATTAAACATATTAGAAACGTGCACTTTCTTTTTTCTTTCTTTTCCATTTAACCAGACTGAGCCACAGCAATTAAGTGATTGTTCAACCATTCGACCATTTGACTGGTAGCTATGACACGCACTGACCACCAGGGACAGATGCTCAATGCACAAGCACAGAAACATGGAACAGACTGATGAATCTCAAAGGGGAGGGAAAAGGAGGGAGGGCAGGAAGAGATTAACCAATGATCTTATATGTATACTAGAGGCCCAGTACACAGATTTGTGCACCGGTGGAGTCCCTCAGCCTGGCCTGCAGGGATCAGGCTGAAACTGGCAGTCTGACATCCCTCAAGGGATCCTCGGTTGTGAGATGGTGCAGGCCAGGCCTAGGGACCCCACCGGTGCGCGAATCCATGCACCGGGACTCTAGTTTACAAATAAGAAAGGAGAAAAGGAGCCCCATATTTAGCTATGAAGGGAAGCTCTAAGCAGAATTCTGGAAGTCCTCACTGAAGAATGGAGGCAATTAACCTTGCAGACAAAGTGCAGGCCGCTGATGAGGACACACACAAGGGCGAGAGTAGAGTAGACAATTTAAATCATCTATCCTTTTGCACCAGTCATCCAAATTTTATTTTAATACTTCAGCGTTCCTAAAACTATAAAATTGAAACTAGTAGCAATGTGATGGAACAGTTGTATTGCCATGGCCAGATTCCATCCAGCCCCCTGCAGGCATGCACATTGCCTCTTACTGGGCATTGGTGAGTCTGAAACTAGTTCACTGACCCCGAAGCTGCCATGGAAATTGGCTGATTTTAAGTCCACTGAGACTAGAGAGTGAGAGAGAGGGTGGGCAGTCCAACTGCAAGCTATTGCAGTAATTCAGGTGAGAAATAATGAAGAGGGTTTTTGAAAACTAGAGTTTCAGCATTCACCATGAATTTGTTGTATGCTTACTGGAATCCAGGCAGAGACACTGACTCTTTAGCACTGAACAAAGCTGGATAGAATAGAAGAAAAAAATTTTTTAATGTATGACCACTAGAGTTCGCAGGTGATTTGTTGGACACAGGAATGAGGTTGAGTTGAAGACAATTCTTTCCAGCTGAAAGGAAGATGAGGCCCGTGAAAGAAAAAGACATGGAGTGTAAGAGTTGATGTGGGGGAGGATATGTGGGATTCTTTCTTCAGGAGGTCAAACAGTGCCAAAGTTCTGCACGTCAAACATGCTGTCACCCTCTACAAGGGGGACCAGCAACCTAAAAGGCATGGAAGGGACCCTTGATTCTTAGTCTTACTCCTCCTCCCATGTAAGTCAGCTCCTGGATTTACTGAAAAGCTCATCACATATGTTTATCTCTACCTTGCCAACTAAATCAAACCTTGAAGGCTCATCTAAAGCAAGGGAGGAATTTTAATTTAATTTCAACTCACTAACCTGATTGGCACACACTATTCATGAGATGTAAGAGGCACTAAATTGGCATAAAAGACGGCAGAAACACTTGAGCAATTTAGTCAGTAAATCATGCAGGCCTCCTAATGAATTCTCATGCAGACCTACAGCTTGGAGCCACAGGGATTCCTGGTCAGCCCAGAGGCTGCACTTCCGTGTGGGTGCTGTTCAGGGAAGCCTAGCCTCTCTTATTTGAATCATGACACTTCAGCCTCAACCAAGACAGTGTGAACATGGGCCTTTGGTACCTCTGGCGGCGTTTTGTCTACAATCTTGTATTGATCACTGATTGAGCCTATTCTCCATGTAATTTTCTTTTAGGAAAATCCTAATGACCTACGGTTTTGGTTGGGAGACATGTACACGCCCGGTTTTGATACCTTATTGAAAAAGGAAGAGGAACAAGAGAAGCATTCAAAATACTGTCGAATAGGTCTGATTTTGCTCCTTGTTGCCTGCATCTTGGTTTCCATAGTGACTGTTAGCACATTTTTCACCTAAAGAAACTGCCACAGACACAACCACCTGACATTTCTTAAAAATCTTTTCAAATAAACATTTGCAGAAAAACATGTTCAGGTGGTGTGAGTGTATTGTTGATTGCTTGAGATTTGTTGGCTTTCTCTACTTTGTGCTCTGAAACCTGGGTAAGAATTCCAGTCTGAACTTTGTCCTTTGGGAAGAATGCTGGGGATTGAAACCACAGAAAGTTACTATGTACAACCCAAACTAAACACTGATAGAGAGCAAAGCAGCACCAACAATTGTCAACAGTCTTGTTTTAAAGCTCAAACTACATTCGTCTTGTCTTTAAAGCACTGTTACCTTGCTCTCCTCCACCCCCACCCCGTCATTACAAGGAAAGTTGAGCAGGTCATTTTTTGACCAACTGCCAGCCACACAGGGTAAAAGCTTCTGGTTGTGCTGCCTATTGAATTGAGTTCTGCTGTTTTATCTTCCTTTATTCCTCTTTAAGCCAGAAAAAAAAGAGGAGAAAGTGAAGACTTCCTTTAAATGTATTGCTATTTCCCCAGTAATCCTTTATAATGCCTCTGTTTCATGTAGTAATTCCAGTAGACCTAAACTTAGACAGGCCGTAGTTATATAATTGATTACATTTAGAGCCAATTGTGCTCATGAAGTGATCCAAATTGGTTAGTGGTGGCCCCTGGTGGCAGGCAGTAAGAATGTCTCACCAGCCATGGCTTAGGAAGGAACGCCCTAAAAAGCAGAGGAAATACTGTGAAGAGAACAGGATTTGAACCCTAACCGTGCCATTTGCTAACTGTTGGACCTGGGAAGTTATTCTCTCCCGAGAAGGGATAATATCGTCTTCCCAACAGAACTTGCCTAAGGACTAAATAAGAGACATAGGTAAGAGCAATGCCTGGTTCCCAGTTAAGTAGCTCCATAGTTGATGGCAGTTGTTGCTACTCCTGTGTGCTAGCTTATTGGCACCCTGGAGTCATTTTACGTTGCCTGCAAATACCTGGGGACATTGTTCTGGCCACAGATTAATAAAGTCACTACCCCTCTCTTTCTCTTAGAACTCCCTTCCCTAAGTCCCTCATCTCCACTCCTTTCTTTTCTTTCAACTCCCCCAGCCCCCACTATGTTGTGCAAGAAACAACAAAGGTACTTATTCCATTTCTCATTAGTCAGATTTTACCCTTTGGGGTTGCCATATCATTTTGTTGTATTTCTCTTAAAGATACTTGAAATAAAGTCCATCAAAGTGCAGCTGTACTGTACAATAAAATCATTGTGCACAAAAATTGTCTTAAGCATCTTTGCAGCCTTTAACGTCTTACTCCTCCACTCCTCTATGATAGGTTCCAGTCCAAATTAGAACTGAAACAAGGAGAAATGAACTCCCAGGGGACTCTCTGAATGCAGGTCCACTCTCACTGTGCACACCTCCTGGACAACCACTTGCTATTACAGTTGACCCTTAAACAACACAGGGCAGGAGCGCCAACCCCCACACAGATGAAAAATCCACGTGTTACTTTTGACTGCAGTTGGCCCTTTGCTTCCACAGATTCAACTAACCGCAGGTTGAAATCAGTATTTCTGTCTGCGGTTGGGAATCTGCGGTTGGGGATGTGAAAATACTGTTTTCACCTGCTGCTGGTTGAATCTGCACATGTGAAACCCATGGAGAGGAAGGGCCGACTATTGATTGAAAAAGATCCACCTACAAGGGGACCTGCACAGTTCAAATCTGTGTTGTTTGAGGGCCAACTATAGACTCTGTTTTCAAAGCTTCACTGCCCAGTGTTTGCTTCCGAGGAATTCGAACATGTTCAGGTTCCTGCTACCTGTGGGAAGAATCCGCCGCAGCAGGTTGCTTCTGGCCATAACAGGTAAGGCTCTCAGCGCTGAGCGGGGCAACCACAGGAGTGCGGAGCTGCTCAGCTGAACTCCTGGCCCATCTCATTCCCTTCCCTTCTGCCGAGTCAGGCCCTAGGACTCTGCTCGCTCTGGCCCCATTCTACTCTCATCTCTCACCATTTCTATTTCAGCATGAATGAGTTATCGCTTTGCTATTGCTCCCTAACCAATCTTCGTTGTTAGCCTTTAATGTCACTATAGAATCAAACTATATTATTATCCCTCACTGGGTTAATGTTATGCAACTACACGAGAGTGAATGCCATGAATAGAGAGAGTACATCCCTGTGTGCACTCGAAATCATTCCGTGAAAACAGTTCCAATTTCTGCAGTATGGGTTTTGCAATGGCTCAAGCAGGAAAATTATAATAAGGTCACAGAAAATATAGAGATGATAGCCCTAAAAAGCCTTACGTTAAAATCTAGGTTTTCTTAAAAAGTGCTGATCCAGAGTCAATGAACTAATGTTTTAAAGCATTTTAATACAATCTTTGCCATATGATAGGTGGTCAATAAATAGTAAGTATTATCTGCAAAGAAGTGACTATTTTAGTCACTTTTTTTTTCTAAATTGAGGTAAGAATGTCTGGACTCCATAAATTCTTACGTAATAATGGTTTCAAATAGTAATTTTTCCCAGGTTCTTTAGAAAGCGAACCCCCGCAAAAGTTTTGTTTTGGTATATTAGGTTAATGTGAGGGAGGCCAATAGCAAATAGTATTGCATATTCTAGATCTAGAGCAGTGGTTCTCAACCTTGGCTGCACATTAGAATCACCTGGGAATCTTTTTAAAATCCTGATTTCTGGGCCTCATCCTCCAGAAATTCTGGTGTGTTTTTTTGGGTCGGGGCCACAATGTTGTGGCGCCCCATAACAAAGAAACAGAATTTCCAGAGGATGAGGCCCAGAAATCAGGATTTTAAAAAGATTCCCAGGTGATTCTAATGTGCAGCCAAGGTTGAGAACCACTGATCTAGAGGAAAGAAATCCAACTGTGGATACTTTTTTAAATTGCTACTCTCAAGGGCATGTGAGATCTTGCTTCCAGGCATATGTGTCAGTTTGGCTCAAATAAACTTATCAAAATTCAAAAATAAAAAGCAAAATGCAGCTCTCATGTTTAAAAGAAAAATTGAATTTATGTGACTCACTGAAGGCCATCGCATTACATACGCGTTGCTGTCACCTAGTGGAGAGTTTAGTGAGTGGAAAACAAAGAAAGAGGGCTCATGGCTGCTCTGTTTATTCAGCGTGCACTCCTGCCATCTGGTGGTGACACGTACTGGGCCTCTCTCAGCCCATGAAAAAGCCTTTACCAAAGGGACATTGTGCAGGAAGGTGAAGGCCTAAGTATGCCTCTGATCGGAATCAGTTCCATTGGGTGGCCAAGGATGCCTTGAAACCTCCCCCTTGCAACCAATAATTTTGATACCCTCTCAGCTTGCAAGAAAAGAGATAGACTGTCCTAGAGTCAGACAGACCAACACTTGAAGGCAGAGATGGGAGCCTCAGCATACACTCCGGACCCTGTTACACAAAATATGCTAAAAGCAGAAGTATTCTGAGAGCCAGCCCCATTCCTAACCTCAGCTTGGTTAAGATTTTAGGAATATTTAATAATTTGATGCTTGTTTTAGATATGCTATGATCTGAATTTCTATATTTTTATCTCTCTTGAGAGTTTCAATATTTTTAATTCTTCTTTTTTCTATACCCATTGTTTATGATCAGTTGTTAAATGCTCCCCTCATATAATTAAAGATGTAAGTTTATCATAGGTGAGAAATCATTTTTCAAACTGTCATTCGATAGGGTTGTGAAATCACAACCTCTCTAGATTTGTACTTACATACCCACAGAGGCTAACACTGTGCTTTTTAGAGGAAAGGTAACTTTTTTGGTTCCTTCCAAATAATCACTTAGTCCAGGCTCTTGCCAAACTTGAGGTGAGAATATTCAACCAAAGTGAGCAACTTCAGGAATCAAGCACAGCTTTCTGCCAGGCAGTTCTGCTCTCGCTGACTCCTGTACCTGCTCAGATTTCACTCTCAGTGCAGATTGCTGGGAAACATCAGGACCAAATTGGGGCCCTCTCTTCTTAAGAAGTGCATGGGATGTCCCGTGTGCTTCTCCTGTCCTGTCCTCATTCACGGCTCCATCTCATAGTCTGTCCTCTGCCTCAGCTTCCTCCCTGCTTCAAATATCTGGTCTCTCATGGTACTCTGTTTTTGCTCAGTGTCTTGGACCTATTGAATAGATAGAAAGTAAATAGAGATAGAGCGTACGGAGAATTATAAGTGTGTATTTTTTATATATATGTATATGTATACATATATATAATGCAAAAGGCTCTCTTTCAAAAGAAAAATTTGAAATTTAAAAAATCTTAAAAAGAAATTAGTTTTTTAGTAAAAAAATGATTTCTAAGTTTATTTGGCCAAAAAAATGCGAGTCACGATTCACACAGGTTTACTTATGCATACTTACTGTTTTCAAGTTCCTGACAAAGAGAACAAAGTAAGAATTCTTCTTAAGCTAATTAAAATGTGTTAGTTTTGCCAAATTATGAAATAAGTATTAAAATTCCTCATGTTTGAATTAGCTTCAAGGTTGGTGGGACATTGTTTAGATTAATTGCCTGAATAATAAAACAATGGCTTGGCTACATTTAAAGCCTTATCAGTCACTATAAATGCAACAGCAGTTAACTCAGCTTCTTTCTAAAAATACATTATTTAAAAGCTGACACATTTAGTATCAACACTTAAGGGTGAGAATAATTTCACTGTCCCTCCTGCCATTGTGTTCTTTTTTTAAATATAGTGGTCACAAACCTCTTTCATTAATTCTAAACATATTTTTAAAAAACGTTTTATTTTGCTTATTACCATCAACACATAAATGCACAACTTTTGGAGCCATTTTTTGAGTTATTCAGAGAGCCTCCCAGTAGATGCCCTTGGGCAGCCATCACCCCATCCTCCCACCCACCTGCACATTTCTGTCCGGCCCTCATTGGAGCTGTTGGGGGCTAATGTCAATGCAGCAGACATAATCATACTTTTGACATTTCCTAATTTCCCAACCCTTCCACTGCCACGACTTCATTCCATCTCAACTACAA